TTTTACGTTGTGGGCGTCGAGTACCCACAACGTCTGCGCACATTGATAAACGTGAAGAAGTACTAGGAAATACGTGTACGCTCATTTAGTCAGATAGATTACGCAACAAGTAATCACCTCGCACTCCGATTTGGTCTTGAAATATAATTCGTAATTCGGAAGATAAATTCTGGTGTTTTGCCTTGCCTTTGGTCTACGCGGAACGAATACTATAGAAGTTGTGTTTATTAGATCTTGTGTTAGTATACTTCGTACTATCCGTGAAAGTCAATACCGCCAGCTTCTAAAGACTTCTTAACAACCACGATTGGAGCAACCCATAAAGAGTAAGATACTTGATTGAGAAAACGTGCTACTTTGGCAACAAACCATGGTAATGTAACACATAGCACTGGTATGTTTGGTCAAAAAAACGTTTGTTCACTCTCAGGGATGTATACTTCCGTTCCAGGTTGGGAGACAACCGAGACCGGACCTTTGCAAACACTGACTGCTGTCAGAAGCCCTGCATGAATCTGTGGTTTAGTTACGAATAACATGTGGTGATTGACTATTTCTATCTTTGTTTTGTTTAAATACTTACTGTTGTTTGTTAATATATTTATGATTTTGATTTGAAAATATAATTCCGCCAAATACAAATTCCTAAATTCATCCCTCTCAGTGTTTTGGTTGAGTTCCTGTAATTCGGTCATTGCGAAATACAATACTATTAGTACAAATAACAATCACATAACATTTAGTGGTGAGTCTGGTAATCCAGGAATATCGAAGCGATCCAGACAGAAGCAATTTAGACTGACATCAGAGAAACAGCAGAGTGCATTTGTAAGGGTATTGCACAAAGAAACTGCACAACAGAACTTTCGCCTTAATGACAATCGCTCATCACTCGCATTGTTCTGAGTTCTGAAAGTCTGCTGAATGAGAGTTTCCCCGAATTCAAATCATAGACATTCGGAAACAATAGTGACATTGGATAATATGTATATCTATTTCCGTACTGAATGGTCGTTCACCCGAAAGCTGGTGAATTTTCAGAGGACAGGTGATTGAAACTGAGAAGGGGTAATCCGGCTAAGAAATAAACCTGCCAATTGGGGACGATATCTGTAGTGATTGCTCTGGGATGACCGTTACGTATGTCATTGTGTGTAATGGTGGCAAAAGCCATCCTTGTGACCGAATGTACTACAGACCATGCACCAGTGCTGTATGTATGGACAAGACTTAACGAAGTGCCCACTACCGCAACACCAGCAGGACAATGAGGGAGTCCTTCTTAGGCCTTTTTTGCTACTGCGCGCGTAATTGAGACGATGGGCAGTCACCGTAGGACTAGGAGATGTTTAAGCAGACGGTGGTGAGGAGATTTGAGAGGCCTGGAAAAATGAACTTATTTGAGGATCACTGGACACGCGGATGGGCGAAGCTTCTAAAAAGATGAAAGCTGACCATTCGTTGATATTGTGAAGCGATTCTATTTAGGAGGTAGGATGTTCTGCAGCTTTATTCTTGTGTCGGGGGGCTCAGAGAACTACAAACTGCAAATGAGTGCTACCGGTTGAAATTGATCGCTGTGACAGATTTTAACTCAAGAATTCCACATTCACGATTAACCACACTGACATGTTTGAGGAAATCAGAATGGTTGTCCATGTTTAGAGACCGACAACATCCGTCAAAATGTTTCAACGAACACTGAGGAGCTGTACAAATGTCTACACAGTTTTTTGAGATGGCTTCCACATGGCTTTTAGGGCAGGACCATGTCGCAGCTTTTGTCGAACTCGGAGGTACCAAGCTTCTGAAGCAGGATATGTATTTTCCAAGAATCGTGACCAGCGAATTCCACTATGAAATTATCTTGGAAACAGCCGAACCAAGCTACTGAGGGAAGCATTGTCATCAGGGTTGCGGTGAAAAGAGCTACCAAAGCTGAGATGACATGTGATGATTCAGAATTAGAAATTTCAGAGTACATGAGCAACTCGATAATCTTCATAAACTGATCAAAACATTTATCCAATTTTGAATAATCAAACATCCTGGTCACCATTATTATACTTCTCAGTGTTTGGTTGAAAAGAGAGGAACGCTCAGGAGAATGACAGACACGATGGTCACGAGTGTCATTTGTCAGCCACAAAGTTATATAATGACTGCTTGATTTCCCAGCCCACTACTTGGTTTGGAAAACACAACGAAGTAAGTTGGGAAAAGTATATTTGCATAAGGAAGCTATTATATATGCTTATTTATATGTAGGGAACAAAGAAACAAATAATGCACATACAGGTCAATGACGAAGGTGTTATGAAGGATAAATCGACTGATTTTCTGTTTGGTTATCTATAAGACAACTCCGATTAGTGGGTTTTGTAGACATTATATTAATTCTCATGGCAGGTTCTCTCTGTATGATTATGCATATCTACTCACTTGCCATCCAGTTGGATAGCAAGATTTTGTATATCTTTAGTGTCTGAAAGTTAGTAACCTTGGAAATTATGCTGCCGTTTATCGGAGAATATATAGGAGTGCCAAACCTGTACATTTACGCATAGTCTCCACCGTTATCTGAACTTGCCCTGCTTTTGTGGTGACACTTTTGACTAGGAGAAAGCAGCATATTGCACAAAACTCTTGGCATTGTTATAAGGCCTACTGAAGTAATAATGCATGTTGAAGTAAAAGCAATGGAATGCTTAAAACAGTTAATAGATTCAAAGGCATATATCAATGGTGAAATTTCGCAAAAATCATGTTGTGAGGGAGCAAAAGTAATAAAACTATTATAATTTGTTAGGGATGTTTTAATCCCCGTATCCATTTCAACCAAGTCAAATCAGATAGACGCAATCTTGAACACTCATATTGATTGCAGGTCCTCCTACCGGTATCGTCATCAAAAGAAAAGAGATAATAATAACATAGTGTAGGTCATTCAGACTAAAAGACAGAAAAAGAAATAAAGAAAACGTAAAGAGACATAATTAGATTTGAAGTTGATATATATACATATAAATATATACGTATATAATGTCAATAATAATACCAGTTATAACAGGTGTAAGTGTAGCAGTTGAAGTAGTCGGGAGAGTAAGACAAGAGAAAATGTGAAGAAGTGAAACGACGAATTTAGATGTGTACCTGTGGGTGGAGTATGGGATTTTAAGGGGATAGGTCATTTGCACGCAGTGGTTGTATCGCTGCATGGTTGTCCGGCCTTCGCTTAAAGCTGACAAGGGATGGTGCCGTAGCTACATTTACCGGTAAGGAGTTCCAGGGACGGCAAACCCTCAGTGATAAGAAATGGGGGCGCGCCCGAGTCCTTTTCCCCCGGTAAGCTATCCTTCTGGGATTTCCACCAGGAAGTCCATATCTACTCAATGGAAGAACACTTGTTTGGGTGATTCTAGTCATTTGTTATCTTCTAGGCAGTAATCAAGTCTCTCCTGAGTGAACGGTGGATAGGCCTGATTTCTTAAGCCTTTCATGATATGGTTTCTTTCGGAGACCCATCACTTCTTTTGTCGCCGGTCGCTGGACTCTTTACAAAAGGTTTACGTCTCTTCTAAGCAGTGGAGGTACAGTGATATTATGCACTTCAAGGTGTGGTCTGATGTATGTTTTGAACGACCTAAGAGAGAGCTGAGGAGTGAGTGCACCTAACTATCTTTTTGTGCGTCAGTGGCATAGTGGTTAGGACTCTCGTCGACCATGCACATGGTCCGGGGTTCGATCCCCTGCCGACAAACACCCGATATCTATGGTCGGCCTGTAAATTTGGGCTACCGATATCCATGCTGAAAATTCCATACTTGTACCAGAAAAATACGGTGTGGAATCAAGCTGTAATCAAAGTAAAGTAAAAGTAATCTTTGTGTAAAGTGTATAACCGCATATGGCCTCTCTACTTCCTCTGTGTAACTTACGTTTGTGTCCGCTTATTCCGTCAGAACTAGACTTAAGTCACGATCCGACGTTGTGCGGGATGATCTCTCGTTGCATAGGGTGTAACTTTCATTCTGCAGCCTACAGGTGCGTAATTTCACTACTTTGCACTTTTTCAAGTTGAAAGTCATGCCATTGGCCACCGCCCAGTTTTCCAGAAGCTTTAGATCTGAATGCAGCCTATCGGAGTCTTCCGAACACTTTATCGCTCTCTATATATTTACGTCGTCAGCGTATAGAAGAGTTTGGCAGATCAGAAGGAATGGTTGATCATGGATAAAAATCAGAGACATCAGTTGCCCTAAGATTAAACCCTGCGACACTCCTGCTGACAAGCCGTGACAAGACCATTGGACTCCATTGACCTTAGTACAGAATTTCCTTTCAGTTAGGTAGTCCTTCAATCATTATAGAAGCGGCTCACCTATACCTGCTTGACTTATTTTGTGTAGGAGGTCAGATGCTATGTGAAGTCTAGGAAGAGCACATGGACTGGAACATTCATATCACAGCATGGTATTCAATCATCTCAAGCTGATAGTAGGTTTGAAACACAGTATCTGCCTTTTCTGAAACCGCGTTGGGCTTCATGGAGTCTATTATTTCTATCGAAAAGCTCCCTGATGTGATCATCAATAATACTTCCAATAACTTTTGATTCTACTGCAAGTAGGGCTACTGGTCTATAACTGGTGGTAATTCAGTTTAAATCATTCGATTCTCTACTCATATAAGTCATTCAGAATTAACAAGGCCTAATTAGAATAAGGAAACTAAGTGTTTGTAACAAATGATGATGGGAATTTTTCATGGTGATCATTCCTTTTTGTTTCCACATGGTACTTATTCTGAGTGTTAATTCACGTGATCCTACATTTAATTGGCAATTAAACGTTCTTTATAGTTTTCATTTTTTGTCAAAGAGACTTAAGATTCATCATGAAGCAAAACACTTAATCATTAGGGTTTTTTGTTTTAATACACCATTTAATGGTTTCGAATGTTTTCCTTGACTCTGTCCTAGTTTAAAACCGCCAATCAAAATGGTTGAAGATGCCAAGTTTTTGAAAAGGTAAGTTTATAGAATTTCCTACGAATTTTCATAAGAAAAATACGCGGTGGTTCTATTGACGTACATCCGACGGAGAAGGCACTTGTGGTTCACTATGAAACAGAAGCCACGATTCTCGGAGAATCGGGAAACCCAATGATTGGGGAGCGTAAAGAGAGTCAAAAGATGTAAATGATGTTTGAATAGTAATATTTTTATGCAGTATTCGCGTTAAAAATTTAAATGAAGATACTGATATTCCAGAATTGGCTAGAAAAATCATTTCCAGCTGCAAGTTAATATCTGAAAATAAATACGCACAAATAGAACATTTATTGAAGTACTTGCTGAAGCGAAAAGAATCTACCACAGTTAAAAGCCGTAAGTTATTGTGGTTACTGTTTGACTTGTTATTCTGCCATCAAAAATGAATAATTAAATGTTTTTTTAATAACTGATATGACAGTTTGGTGGTTTCCTGAAATGTCTTCAGTGCTTGCAAAGTTGTTGTTATCAAGGATCTCAAAACGTTTCTGTTAACTATTTCATGTACACTGCTAGTGAACTAAAATTTCTAGGGTTTAAAAACTTTACGTTCAGTCGATGTTCGATAGTAAAATAGCACTTACACAGCCAAATACGGCGTATATTTTTACTGGTTTTACAGGCCTTTGGAGTGCTTTGTTTGCGGTCATCTAAGTGTTAGTTAAAGTAATATTTCGTCTTCATATGAATAATGCTTAGTGACCGCACAAGCAAAAGGGTAGAATACTTGCATTTATTAGCTACAGCAGCCTGTGTGAAAGACGCTTTCATGACTTGAATAAGACTATAAAAAAGGCCTGGAATAGTCTTAATATCAGTAAAAAGTTTGAGCATTGTGGATTAGATCAAATAAAGTATAATTATATTTTAATAGTTTACACACAATGAGGAATCAAACAATTCCAACACTGGTGTGAACACGGGCAGTAATTTTGCTCGAAATATTACCAATAACAAAACTTATCATTGTGTGTAAACTATTAAAATATAATTATACTTTATCTGGAATAGTCTGTTTTTTAGTGTAGCCCGACTTATATACCTTAATGTATCTTTTTAAAAAGACTGTATTCAAAGTATTACGGGTTTCGAAAGCGACATCTATTCCCAGGAAATTGGGACTGAATACCAAAATGCACGGTTAAGCTGCTACAGTTTGTGGTTCATTTAGGTGGTGTAAAATATGATATATTAGAGCCCTTGTATGCTCACATGGTGTGTGATGAATGAAAAGAGATGTATGTTGTAAATTTTTCAAATACACATCAAGAAAAAATAGTCTAAATATTCAAACTCCCAATTTTAGCTGTTTTACTGATTTTCATGGTCTACATGAAAGCGTGTAATCACTTTAACTGTTTATGTAGCGTTGTTCATGCTAGACAATATACCCATAACTATTTCAGACGACTAAATGTGAGAAGCCTCATACCTGACTTTGGAAAATGTGATTACAGACTACTGGTTTCATACACATCCTTCACCATAGTTGCTTTTAATTGTCAGACCAGAATTTTTATTTAACTTCATTTCAGTTTATAAAGACAAGTGCTGTCCTACTTATAGAAGGATTTACTATTTGATCTGCCATGAGAGGCTGTGGTGATTAGTAGCAATGTTAGAAGTTCCGGGACGACTGTTTAGAAATACTTGACAAAACTTTTATTTCTCCAAGTCACGGTGTAGGAAATCAGTACAGAGGTTTTTTCAACACAACAGTAATTCAGAGGGCTTGACTTAAGATTTATTGCTTGTCTACACACTTTTGAGCTACCTGATATATCTGGTGGAAATTCAGCGATTAAGATGCTACTGATGAAGTGCTACCATGACTATTCCTAGTATTCTTCGAACCATGATATGCGTAAATTCTTTTATGTGCAAAGAATCTCATATTAAATATTTAGTGTGAAAATGACTTATTATAGCTTTCATTCGTAATCATAACTAATTAAGTTCAGATTACAAAGTGAGTTTTGAATGTTTGCAATATGTAGTAATAAAAACACATTTCTAGACAATATCTCCAACTTTAATATCAGAAGAATTAGGTCGCCTATTGTTATAGATAAAATATCATACCATATGACGATGTTGAGAGATATATGAGCAAAGTAATACCTGATAACACGGGAGATTGACTTGTTTCCCTGCAGTTGCGAGTGATAAAATGAAAATTTGCAGTCATCTTAAATTAATTGTTGAGGTGACTGGCCAATTTAGGTATTTTGTTTATTTAATTCCACTCGAAAATGATTTTATGGGCTAAATATGCCCCGTCATTCATTTCAAAATAAATTGTTCGAAACTTAAGTATGACCATGCTTTATTTATATATTGTATTCGAGATATTTATGAATAATTAATTCCCTACATCACCACAATCAGGCTGAGTGTACGGCAGCTTCTCTTTCACAACACATTATGATTTGGCGATAGTTCAATGGACAGATCACTATATTACGAGGCTTAAACGACGTGGATAGCTTACTTAATCTCTATGCCCCACAGAATACTTTTGATTCAAGCTCAAAGCTAATTCTTTGTTTTCATCAGGGTATATGAATTCTGGTCATAACAACGCTACATAAGAGGACTATATTTTCCAATGGAAATGAGAAAGGAGTAACTCAGATAATAGTATGTCTAGGCTATGACTTTAAAGCGACCAATCACTTAAAAGTAGCTGGTAATTTGAAAAATAATTAATAATTTGACTATATGCAAATTCTTCACGTTCACTTCTGATAAATACTTCTAGTTAATTAAGACTTCCAGATTTTGTTGTTATTTCCTAAGACTTTTCATAATCACAAAATAAGTTGGCAAAGTTATTTCCCAATGTTTTTCACTTCGCGTAAGACTCTGTAATCTCCAAAGGTAATTTACTGCTCATCTCTGTTAAGATGATTTATTTAATTTTGAATCTTTAATTTTTCATAGAGAAATCCTCAACTGTATCTGAAACACTTGCTGATCCCGGTGCATTTGATTCGACAGAAATAGATGAGGTGGCTCATTTAACTGATTTAGATGAATACTTGGAACTGTTATATGAAGATATATCGGATAAATTGCGAGCTTCAGCACTTATTTTACAACTTGCCAGAAATCCTGACAATCTAGAGGAGTTATTTCAAAACGGTAAGTTAGAATTTGTATGTTTTTACAGATTGAAATGAACTTGTTGGTGTTTGATCCACTGATAATATTCTAAAAGGGTGAACAGTAAAGCTGTGATTTAGCAAAAATCAAAATTGTAATATATCTCCCTATACGCATTACGATTTTGCTGAAAAGGGATTGTCCTCAAGCAGGCAAGCTCATACTGGTTGACTCACCGTCTGACAAGATAGCATTCTTGTAGTCGACTTTTTAGCTAGTTTCAGTAATACTTGTAGTATATATTCGCACGCTGAATAGAATCATTTCTAAATTTGTCTAAAGAGACATATTACCTGGTAAACTCTTATAAACACATGGACTGACATATACACTACTTTTGAAGCGTCACATTTAAGATAATTGTCACTCAAATGATATATGTGGCAGGAGTTGTGATATAATGATTCTAGTGCTTTTAATTTTATCCTCTTGAAATGGCTATACACCTGAGTTTATTGTAGTTATTCATTTATCGATTTTGCTAATACCATTTTATAAAGATTGAGAAACAGTCTTTCGTTACTTCTAATGAATATACTAAGGATGTTCCTGTATATGTTATCCGTAAATGAGTCCTTCTGGAAAAAGAATAATAATTATAATTGGAACGTATAGCAAAACCGGCAAATATTATTTAAGACCCAAGCCCAGTGGTTGAGTGGTCTGGGAACGTGAACTTCCTGGGTTTGACCCTTGGTTGGATCTTGGGTATGCATTCTTGAGGAGTCCCAAATGAAAATGAAACGACTGTCCAGTACCCTTTGATTTCCTATGTTTCTGTAACTAATTTTGATTTGCCACAAAGCCTGCACTGAATTTAACATTCCGATTGCTTACTTAGTACTATGCATATCACCTCTCCACGTTCTTTCACAGTATTAAATCACTTAACTATTGTATGTTCCATGCACTCTGTACAAAGGGTTATTTGAATTGCATTCATTTTATTCTAGAGACTCTGGTTGGTGCTTTAGCACGAGTTCTTCGTGAAGATTGGAAGAAGAGCACAGACTTAGCAACGAATATAGCCTACATCTTCTTTTGCTTCTCTTCTTTCTCAAACTTCCATGGAGTAATATTGCACTTCAAAATTGGTGAGTTGATAGGTTTTTATAACTGTGATTGATTGATCAAGTATATATATCTCTTTTTGTTCTTGTACTGTCTCCTTGACATTTTGATAATAGTGTTTAACACTGATAGCTATTTTTTGCTATGAGCTCTTCACAGTTCTTCTTTTTTGGAAGTAAATAGCATGTCAATATTTTTGAATCGGATACCGTGCGTCAGTGTTCATTAATTTTTCCATTTGTTTTCTACCCTGTCCAGTTAATTCTGATTCCATTCAGAAGTTGTTTGATGACCTCTGTCTAACACTGGTTGGTGGGATTCGGTGTCAAAGACACACCTACGGAAAGGAAGTTAATTTCGCTTTAGGGAGACATTTTGAAATAGATTGAAGAGTATTCCTTTGGTGAGGTTTACGTGTAAGAGTGGTTCACAGAAAGGAATGGTAATCCTAACCGTGAAAATTTTCAAGTCAGCTGGTAGTTGATTTTCATTCTTAGTTTGGTAGAAAAGTTTGAGTGGAGTTGTCTCTCATTCAGTGTACTTGTATCAATAAATAAGTTTATCAAACAGTTATTTCACGTATCTGAAGTGGTTAACTTCATCATTCATCCAGCCTGCATTTATAGTGTAATCATTATGGGTTTGTGAGTGGCATCATTTGCATTAACGTGACAATATTTATTTGAATTTGTAGTTAAGCAGTCATAATTTTGCAAGTCAAGAAGAAAAGATTCCATCTCATTATCTGTTGGCATAATCAGCTTTCTTTAATCAGTACAAGCACTGTTTATTTCTAATAACTTGAAAATTATACAATTTTTAGGTGCATTAATAATGACAATAATTGATCATGAACTGCAGAAGTATGATTTATGGATTGATGAGCTTGACAGGAAACAGAAACTGTCAAATGCATCAAATAACAAGTCAGAGATGCATTCAGCTTCCAAAGGCAAAGGTTCAACAGATGACTTACAAAATAATTATGAAACAGTTCTTTCAAAATATAAATCACTTGTTAGAAAACAAGAGCAGTTATTCAGAGGTAAGTCATATTATTTTACTTGCATTGTAAAACAGAGGAGGCTTTATTCATATAGGTGCATGTTGTATTACCTTTTATGATGAGTTACACGTACTACTCATTTTGTTTAATTTCATCTCTATGTTCAACATTTCATAAGAACATCTTCAAGCTGATGGTCTTGTAGTTATTACAAGAAAACTTATTCCTTGTCAATTGTAAGACGATACTAAAGAACTGGTCTGTATTGACCTCTACTTTAATGAAAAAATCACACCTTTCAACCAGTTTACTTGTCTAAGGAGTTGCATCATCCATAATTGACTGGGTGCTGATGAAATACCAACACGGATATAAAAGCCTCGTTTTTGTATTTGTTGACTTTCACCATTGTTGGCTCAGGAGTGATATCTGCCTGTTCATCAGGGGTGTATGTACTTTTTGACATTTCGCTTCTTCCTACTTCACAAGTGTAAAACATTATTGTTGAAGATAGTAGACATGGAAAGGACTATCGGCTTTCACCATAGGTACATTCGTCCAATTGCTAATGATCAATGGGGTACAGTACAGTGAGTTAAAACGAAGCTAAGCTAAGAGTGCGACGTAAGGAGTGGAACTCAACTGACGAAATTGTGAAGCTGCATAGAGAGTAGTGTATTGCGTATACCAAACCACCTTCTTCCTTAATGGATAGTGTTATCTGAAATAGGACTAGATCTAAAGTGTTGAGAGTTGCTGAATAAGAGCATAGCACCAGTCTACGAAGTCATTGTCTCGAGCTACGAAAGTTGGTGTAGACTGCCTAAGTAGGGTCCTAGGAATATTAAAAAGATGGTCGTCAGAGATTATTTGTGATATTGCTCAAATGCACTTTTAGTGATTCAGATATTTCCACTGCTTATCATTTTGCAGAGTCTAGAAATATTTAGCAATCTGGATGTAGATACTCTTCCACCTTCCACTGTTCCATTACATTTTCTTCTAATTTCCTACATGTTTTTCTGAAGTGTGTCAACTTGAATTGATACATTTTTGTACAGCACTCTGTGTTGCCAATTCATTCAGTCCTATCCAACTGGACAAAATATCTTGCTAAATGCAGAATGGTGTTATTCAAATCTAAAATTTACTACTGATCATGTTATGATCACGCTACACTGAATATCGGCAGAACTCGGAAAACATGAATGGTTGAATTACTATCTGACTTTCATGGGATCATGGGTTTGCGCTACTGTACTCTAACTACTTTACTGTATACTCACTCTAACAACTTTTCGCAATAAGTTTTCATGATTGAGAGTCAATATAAATCAGTTAAGTCATTTAAGGTTATCAAATGAACATTATTCATTATGTTTTATTTCATTTATGCATGGCCTGGTGATTTATCAAAAAATCAACATGCTATATGATTTATTAGAATGTTTGTCAGAGATGATATTCCCAAGGACACATTCACTGGCTTTACATAAAGCAATATTAGCAGATAATATTCAGTTAAACGCTGATACTATGCATTCCAAATTGCTATTATGAAATAGTTATGATAGCAGAAGTAAAATAGGTGCATGCTCTAAAGAGCTGTTCCAAATTGTCTGCGTTTATTTGACTTCCCGTTTGTACATATTTTGACCGCATTTCCAAAATCAAACAACGAGAGCTATATAATATCCTGGTTTACAACAAACGAAGTGTATTAAAGAGTACCATGGTGAAAAAATGTTTAAGGCCAGAAACGAAGTCATCACTTCTAACGATCTTATTTCTTAACGTGTAAAGTAAAGTGACTGATGTCAGTTCCAATTTCATTCTCCACTCAAGCTTAAATATTAGTGTTTAAATCTCCGCAAAGTTCACACTGTTCATATGGGTTTGTGAAATTTCATCCATAGAAAATTATTACTTTCTTACTGTAAAAACATTATTAAATGCTTTGTGTAACTTTTGTACTTGTGAATTTTGTTAAAAATAACACCTGTCAGTGTAAAATACATACAAAAACTTAGTGTTCGATGGATGCTGGTATCATGGAGTGTTGAAATGTAACTGGCTGTGAAACCTTTGTCACAAGCGTCACAGGTTTTAGGAGCTCCACTGACCATTTGTGAACTTACTGAAGCTGTAAAAAGACTTTTCTTATGTCAGAGGGTCTCAAACTTTTGATCTCCTCTGTTATTTAAATACGAATCACCTGGATTTATGGTTTACTTCGTCGGCTCCATTATGGATAAGATTTTATTTTGATAAATCACACAGTGTTACGCAGTAATATTAATTGATCACGTTTCGAGCACATAATGGAGTTACACTCTACCACAGTGCCCAAGTTTTATACTTATATCAATAATACTTCGTCGGCTATTAAATTCATTGTAACCCTTATAAATAAATATTATTTCCTTCATTTCTGGTATAAGTCAATCTTAATTTTTCTTACCTTCCTAAAGTTATCTTAATTTTATGTGCAAGAAGAATGTAACTTCAAACCCTTTATTTATTCCTTCACGTTCCCAGTGGAACATAGGGCTTCAAGCTAAAGGCTTGAAGTTTCTGTAGCAGTGTTTATTTTTTTACAGGATGGGTTTGCTAGTCTCACGCCCAACCTTTCCTCTTCACTAGCTTTTTAGTTCTGGCTTAGCGAGGTAAAGGAGAGTGCACCGGCCGAGGATCGAACGCCGGACCATGTGCATGGTCGGCGAGCGTCCTAACCGCTATGCCACCGACGCACAACTCCAAACCTTTGATGGACAGAAATCTGATATGAAAGTTCTTAAATCCAGTTTACTATTTGATAGAAAATAAGCGAGTTCTGAGCACTGGGGAAGCTTACCGTGACACCAAAAATGACTACTTAAATCATGTACTTCAAAATATGCCATTTTTTAAAAAAGGTTTTTCAAGGGACGGGATACAATTATCTTACTTAAGCAAAATCGCTGAACTGCAGCTGACCTTATTTCTAAGCTTTTAACTTTTACGATAAGACAACTAATTGATATTTGCTGTTTGAGATGCTGAAACGTTACTATTCTTTCATCTCTTCTTCTCTTTTACAGTCTCTTTCTACCTACTTTTAAATATCAGTGAAGATCTTAACGTTGAAATCAAAATGCACAATAAAGGGATAGTCACTATGATATGTAAATGCTTGAGTAGAGATAACTTTGAATTGCTGATACTGCTTGTATCGTTCTTAAAAAAGTTGAGCATATTTGCAGAAAACAAAAATGAAATGGTAAGTTTTATATGTGTGTATGTACGAGTGAGCCTTACACCAGTGATTTAAAGTTGATTTGCTTTATGTAGTAGTATTTTTATAAAAGAGCAGTCTAGAAAATGAATTGTGTAATCGTTATCAGGTTATTGGACCATGCTTTTCACTGGTAAATTCGAATTACTTAAAAGTATATAGTGATTTATGATGACGAACAAAATTCTAGTTTATAGGTAAGCATTTGATGACATATTGTCTCCGTGGTTTTGTCAGTAGATTTTGGTGCTATAAATTCCATCCGCCGGTGGCACAGTGGTAGAATGGCTGCCAAGCAGGCATATGGTCCGGGGTTCGATCCCCGACTGACGCACTGCTTTACCTCTCTAAGCCAGTAATAAGACTGGTAAAGGGGGTAGACTGGGCATGAGACTAGCAACCCTAACCCGTAAAAATAATACACTACTGCTACCAAAACTTCAAGCCTATAGCTTGAAGCCCTATTTTCCACTGGGAATGTAATGTGTAAAATAAAATAATAGTGATAAGTATACATGTACTCATGTATATGTGTATTCTAATCCACTGAAGTAGATATAAAAATACTAAGATTATGGCCAAATTTTACAATATATACCACTTAGAATTTGTCTCTGACGTCATGCCTTTTCAGATAAGCTACTAACATTCTTTTCATTGTGCTTTTGATGCAGCTTGTGCAACACTATTCAGTTTACATATTTCCACTGTTCTTCTGATCTGGTGACTGGTTGTCTGTATAGAATAACATACAGATAGCGTACTAAAAACTCGAAATATTATTGAGAATAACTGAATTTTCATATTGATAATGCCTCTTTTAATAGTTCTTAGTCTTTTTGGAAATGAAACAGTGTAAAGAAAAAACCTGTGTTTGACTGTATGCTCCCTGTCAGTGCAGTCTGCAGCGTTTATTAGCATCATTTTTGTCTGCTTTTGGTGCGATACGCTTTGTTCCCTTGGGAACAGATTTATCTGGTTTAAGAATTTCTAAAGTTTATGCATTTTGCATTGTTAACTTGGTAGACGTTTTGGTTTTAGATGAGATTTAAGCATTATTTTCATTCAGTGAGTTCATGTACTGTGCGCGTATATTTGCTCCACATATTTTAGATTAAAAACGGCATAATTGAGAAGTTAGGCAAGCTATTATCTCGTCAAGAAGAGGACCTAGTTAATCTGACTCTACGCTTGTTGTATAACCTTAGTTTCGATACATCGGCTCGGTTAGAAATGGTATCCAAAGGCGTTTTAAACAAAGTTGTTGGACTGTTAGGTGAGTGAATTCAATTTTAGCTATCAGTTCAGTTTTGATCAACTTTTGTGTGATATAAATTGATTCTCTGTAGATAATCATACTGAGAAGATTTCACAAGTAACGCTAAAAGTATTCTGCAGAATTTTCTTTCATGTTGATAAATGGATTAAGAAACAATTGTATTTTCAGAGGGATTAGTTTGTGATGACAGAGAACAAGAGGCTTGGTAAAGGAATGTCTATTTGGAATTCGGTGTTTCTGTATAGCGAAATTATGTACACCTTATCACCAGTAATTGCACAAATCTCCTGTGTGTTGTGCTAATACTGCTGGCCTTCCTTTGTATTGTGTTTCTTTGCTTGCCTTTTCACGTCTCTCATGGTATGCCACCGCAACGCTGAATCATTTTGACTCTCTTTAACATCAAATCTATCTCTCCGCTATTTAATATTTTTATGCCAATGAACATCTCTTCATATTACTACTGATAAATCCCTATTAGTAGCACACGCCACAAACTTAGCAAGAAATCGCTTTATTCAAACTACTTTATTAGGGACTGTTTAAATGGCACCTAGTAAAAATATGGATAATACTGTTGGAAGACAGAGTTTATCCGAAAAATGTAATTCACTTACCCAATTCAATTTGAAAGGCCTAATCACACTTCTATTTATATAATCAATTTAATATCAAAACAATTAGATAGAAGGTCAGTTATAATAATATACGAAACGAACAGACAATTCATGCGAAGGAGGACGATAGTTGACATTGATCTTGATAATATGATTACATAAGGACTGCAAACAGTGTTTTACACACACACAGAGCGGGTCTTATTTTGTGAATAGTTACAGCATTGGTATATTTTAGTATGTGTCCCTGATAGATGCCATATAAAACACTGAAGACCTTTTTAACATGAATATTATGGTTAATCACTACGACTCGTTTTAATGAATCTTCACTTTTCGAAATTGGAAAGTCTAATTGTTTTTCACTTGTTTTCCTTAGCCCTCATATGTGGAGTACAAATACTCCTTCCCTTATTTGTGACCAGCTAGGATGTGGTGTAATCGTTTGTGCAGTGATGAGGTTTGTGGTAGAATAATGAAAGGTTGAACTGAACTATATATCTCGAAATTGTACTACTCGCTTCCTCAATGTAAACATTCTTCTTTTCAGTGCAGTATACTGTAAGCTTTCAGGTTGGTCATCTCCTACTATGGTTAAAACTCCAAGAGATAAATGCTTTTTACGAGTATATCAGTTACTGTTTTGTTATAATCATCCATTGTATTAGCAGTACTAATATGCTGGATCCTATGAAATAGACATTTTATCCAGCCTCTAGTCAAAACTTAAAACTTATACGGCATCTTGCCCGAGTAGGCTTTCTGTAAGTTGATCGTTTTATCAGATCGTCTCTCCTCCACCAAAAAACTTATCTTAAGACGCAGATTTATTGCAACTTTCCTACTCAGATGTAATTTTTTCACAGATAAGTGTATCTAGTGGACGCACGGCTTACCTTGTCATCATTTTTGATTATTGTTACTTTGAACGTAAAGTGGTTATTCCCTATGTGAAAATGTTACCAGGAGTAATATCAGTTTTCGGTCCCCTTACCCCTGGATCGTATATTGTTTTGTATATTTTACTGGACCTTTCATTCATTTATTTTCTTATAAATTGACTACATAAATGGAAGTCTGACCAGATTATTCAAGATGTTTTCGGAGAATACATCACCTTTTTCGACCAAAAATTTCGTGTCCTAACAAACCTATAGTAGTAGAGATCGTAAAATTACGACATCATTATATGTTTGTGATCATGTAAGAGAGTTTGATGACGTTATGCCTACTCATTCATTTCTGCCTAATAAAAATGGCGTTTCCACTGAATTTTCGAAGTGTATCTTCACTTGTTTGTTAAGGTTACTTTGTTAGCATTTAAGTAAATTCAGTGTAACATTGTCGTAGAAAAAAGGAAATCTAAGTTACTGACAAAGAGAAAACCTGAATCACGTGAGCTTGCACTACACTAATACTGGGCGCGTTTGTGTTTATTGTTATTCGTCCTTAGTCGCGAGGATTTCGACTCCGGCACTGTCCACCTAAGTGACATAATCCATCATACGGTGTAGCTGACTAAACCATGTGAAATCAATACATGGGTGTAATAGTTATCGCCATTCGATGAAAGGAAGACTGACCATTTCTATTCCATTTATAACTAAACGAGTATCAAATGTAATTACTATACTCTGTTTGTTGTAGAAATGGTACATAAAGTATGTTTTACAGTTGTAAGACTTAGTCATCTGAACAGCATTCACTGAATCAAATGTATTTCTGTTCGATAGCACAACGAAACGTTTAATGACTAGTAGGCGGAAAATAACCGAAAATATAATTTACGTTATACTTAGCATAGGGAAAACTGCTTGCGAACAAAAGGCTATTTATTATTCTGCTTGTCTAGTTTTTTTTGTCGTTTATCCAAATGGACAGAATCGATCGGCTTCTATCTGACTGTGGACATAATTCGATACTACTGGGAATTGCGTTTCCATGTTACTTGTTTAAAAGTAAATGTCAATGTAGTTTAGCTTCATTTGCAACACCATCGCCATAAATCCGGTTAACTGTTTCTAAGCAGAACAAAACACACATTCTATAAGTCAGTGTCGGCTTTCATGAGACAGATACCAAAATAAATACGTTATTAAGTGTTTATAGCTATCAAACTAGGTAGTTGTACTAAAATATAATAAGAATATGAAAATCACCAGCCTAAACTAGCCATTTTTAACCTAGCAGTGTGTCGTACTATCATCGTATTTCATCGTATCAGGAGACTGACCCATGTTTAACATTTCTTCTTCACACAGAAAATGTACAGCATCAAGCAGTGGCCTTGTATATATTGTATCATCTCAGTACTGAAGATCAATCAAAACCGGCATTTGTGAATACACCTTGTCTATCCTTTGTAAGTTATCGTTTATATGTTGCACATCAATTCACACTTTGAACAAGTGAAACATAATATAAGTGGAGTTCTATAGATTTCATATTTCTCACTCAGTCACTTTAGTATTTATTTCCCTTTATAAGCTGGTACACACCACTGGTTGATATTGATGTTTGGAAACCGCTTATATGTCAACTGTCTCGAAGTTTGGTATGCTTTTTATCCATTCCACTTTTGGTGTGAAGCTTGTCATCTATTTTGATTTGAATATTTTTGGTTTTCGAAAATATCTTTGAGAAATTTCACCATAAGCTGTGTTGTCTACAGGCAACGAATTTTACTTCTGTTGGTTCAGCAGACGTATTTAGACATCTGAGAGTCCGTAACAATATTTTGTACTAATATTATATCCATTTCTCTTTTTTAGTTCATTGCTGTCTCTTAACTCAACATTGTTACAAGGCGAGCTCGTAGACCATTAAGCCACTGGGACCCGATCCAATGGCCAGCCCATGAATTCTAACTTCTGCCAATTCACGATATAGCGCAACCGCAAGCCAATGTCTTCGGCGAGTATTAATCCTCACACCCGACCTGGTACACCCTACTGGTCTCGACTTCCAATGATTCTCTAACTGATGTCAGCTCATGATGAAATCCTGCAACCAATCAACCAGATCCCTACAAACCAATGCTTGAATATCAATGAGATGCTCACTGGCGACTGGCCCTATTCAGGTAAGTAGATACCTGAGGCTCTAGTGGGAAGTCGTGACCAGTAGGGTGAACCAGGTCGGGTGTGAGGATAAATACTCGCCGAAGACACTGACTAGCGGTTGTGCTATATCGTGAATTTGCAAAAGATCGAATTCATGGACTGGCCATTTGATCGGGCCCCAGTGGCTTGATGGTCTATGAGCTCGCCTTGTAACCAGAAGGTCCTGGGCTCGAACCCTGGCGGTGGATGCATACTGATGAAGAGTCTCAAACTAGGACGAAACAGCTGTCCAGTACTCCCAGGTTTTCCAGTGGTTCTCTAACCGATGTCAGCTCATGATGAAATCCTGCGACATACTTTTCAGTCGGAGAAGATTATGCAAGACTTCCTAATACTGACAGTTTAACGCTTGTTTGCTTGGTCAATCTATACCACACAGAGAGGATATATCTTTGAATTCTTATGTGTAAAATATAGCTTGCATAAGTTAATGTGTCAAAGCTTTATTATTCAGGGTTTATGTCATGTACCGATCGACTCCTAACACACAACATCCAAAATGTACACTTCAGTATTTTTTCATACAATTTTTTGACAAACTTCATATATAACTTCCGATCAGTAATAAGGAGGAGACTATTCCCTCAGATCCAGTCATCATATCAGTGTAGAATTACTGGAACAATAACAAATACACACATGGACTGTATTCATGCTAAACGAAAAATTTATAAATCATGGAAGAAGTATCTGTCCACATAATGAAATGTATGAGCACAGAAGCTTGTAGTTTGGTCGAAGAGTTCATATTATCAAGAAGCTGATATGTAACAGAATATATGCAGACCGTTTTAGTATGGTGAACAGCTGAATAATACTCTCTGATCAAAAGTTAACTATGATCTGATTTTTATTCGTTTCGCTACACAGCCCTACATAAGGTGATCATCGTTCACCAGCATGATTAAAAAGTTCTACTGTAACGACAGAAGGCAAGAGTCAGGCAACAGATCATTTATTAAGGAAATCAACGCATATTTATATATTTTCATGTACATTACTATGGTTATTTAAGTAAACAAACACAGTCTTCCGATTGGTTGTTTCTCACGTAAAGTTAATCTTTCATCTATTTGTTACTGTTTCTTGAATGTCAAATCCTCTATATGTTAACTGCATCCGCCTACGCAAAGTCTGCTATGGTCGGTTTTGAATCAATCTTTGTTCACATTTTCTCACGACAAATCTTGGGAACGTAAATATTGACGTAAATTACTGTCTACCAATTTGGCTAGTAGACAGCTCTCACCACGCTACTACAATCTTCATTCAGTAAATAAAACCACATTATTATATGCCATGTTGAATACACAAAGTAGCAGTGAATTTTCAAAAGAATAGTTACTGAACAAAGAATACCCTTTACGATAACTTCATTATCAGGTTCTACAGTTATGTATACATAATGGTGAACGAATTAATGTTATTAACAACAATAATAATGTTTAAATAACATGGAATCAATAGTAATATCCATGGATTACAGTTCGATAGCATCAACAATAACCATATACCGAATATCAGAAAAATTAGGAAAGATAATAATACAAATTCATGAATTTATAGTCTCCAATGAAGGCCGGGGTAGTAGTAATGGCTGGACTTGCTTCTTCTACATACAAGGCACCGGTTTTTTCAGGCGAATCCTGATAGCCTCAGCTGTTTGGAGTATGCGGTACCTGGATGTTTTCGGCAATTTGTTTGGTACTTGGTAGATGATGGAGAAGGGCTCTTCCATATTAGCTTTTTGGTCAGTTGGGACCAGGTGTTCAACAGCTCGATATTGGCACACCATCAGCCGTTGTTAATAACACTAATTCATTCACTACTGTTATGTATTTATAACTGTTAAACTCGATGGTGAAGTTATCGAGAAGAGTATTCTTTGTTCAGTAACCATTCTTTTGAAAATTCTAATCAATTAACGCTGAATTGTGTGAAGTCTCAAAAGTTGTATGGTACTTTATTCACATTAACGTCAAAATCTAGAATGTTATGTCATTTGACATAGCTTTCATGTTGGAAATCCTGGTAGTTGTGTTAACCATCAACCTACATGCGCATCAGAGATCTCAGCGAAAGAATAAATCTCCCCAAAAGATTGCAAATACACTTTGTTAAAAGAAAATTTTGATAAACACTAAAGCTTAATTCATGATATTCGGTCGAGAGATTCTCAGTATGCCATACCACATTACAATAGTGGAATTCTTTTTGCTATCTTGTTAGACTAGTGAAATTATATAATTCAACAATACAACCTGTGCACTAATCCTTAAGGTGAATACCTAATTTTTCTTCACTTTTTGCATTTAGCTTATGAAATTAATCCTAGAGAATCCAGAAGAAAAATCAGATTTAGTTCCAATGGCTTTAGCTATCAACTTGGTACGCGATGATCAATGCTCGAATGCTATGCTTAATGAAGGACGATGTTTGAAAGTACTAGCAAAACGTGCAATAAAATTTCGTGATGCATTAATCATGAAAATGCTGCGTAATGCAACTCAGCACAATAATTTACTAAAGTTAAAAATGGTGGTAAGTTTTGCAATTAATAGTGTTCTCTGAGCTGGTTGGTTTAGTTGAGGAGCTTTCGTCGTCCTTCTGGACAACATCTTCAGCGCCATATTTAGCATAAAGTGAAATGATTTAAATTTCTTTATGAGTGATAGAATTGCGTCTCCCGATAACCATCTTTACATATGTATTGACCATTTTCTATTGACTTGGATTTTAAACTTTCTGGTCACATGATTTACTTTTTATTAGTTGGTATATTTCGTCTATATTAACGTCTTTGTTAATTGCATTTCCTTTTGAGTACCAGGCATCTAGGAATTCCCTGACACTTTTGGTGTTTCCTCTGTCTAAGATTTCGACATTATTCCAATCAAATTGATGTCCATAATTGTCTATATGCATTGATACTAAAGAATATATATCGTGTCTTTTCACTGCTGATTTGTGTTCTTCGATTCTGATTCGAAGGGGACGCCCACTTTGGCAGATGTAATGCCTGTTGCAGTTCATACAATTTATTTTGTAAATGGTATTAATTTTATCCCCTTTTTCTGTTGGATCTTTCGGTTTGCATAATATCGAATTAAGCGATTTGACTGGCTTGTGTGCTATATCTATATCAAACGGTTTCAGTATTCTAGCTGTTATTTCAGAGACATTTCTCATGTATGGTAGAATGAATTTTCTTGTGGTCTTTGATGTTGGTTTCTTGTTGGTGTTTTGATTCGACTTTAAACACTTTTTGATGAAATTTTGTGGACAACCATTCTTTTTGAAGACCGTTTGTAGGTACTTTTCTTCCATTCTTTTCAACTCTGGAGTGCTACAATGTGTTTGAACTCTTTTAAACAATGTCTGCACACAGTTTCGTTTGTGAGTAATTGGGTTATTGCTAATATAGTTGAGTATTTGATCTGTGTGCGTTGATTTTCTATGTACTTGTGTTTCTAAATCTCCTGTGTTGGTTCTCCTGATTAAGACATCTAAAAATGGAATTTTGTTACCTAATTCTTCTTCTCTTGTGAATTTGATGTCTTCAAATATGTTGTTTATTAATTTATGAGTATATTCTTTTCCATTTCTCTCAAGATTAAAATGATTCGGATTAACTTGATTTTATCACCCCAGTTATTGTACGCCTTTTTTTCCTAATTATTTAATGACTCATAGCCTAGGTGTTCGACTTTGATGAGTTACAATGTTTTCTCATAGACACAACTAAATTAGATCAACGCAACACCTCAGATCAGTTTTTACTGACTATACTTCATTAGTGAATACATAGCCTTTTTACTGCTATCTCTACAATTACTGTTTGTAGAAATAATCACTTATGAACTGCATACCGTAAACTAACACATTTGCTTATCCCCTTATATGAAACCCTAAGGTTTTCCAAATCCTTCCCATCAGAAAAAATGAATGGTAATAGAAAAAAATTGTCTGCGTACCAGTATAGCAGCAAATAAGTAATCCATAAGTGCTGTAGTTGTTGAACTGACTTCAAAACACACCTATACATATGATATAATTTTGTGATCCATTCTAAAATTTGTAAACGGTGACCACTAAATTGTCGTTTTCTATACCTGAAGACTTGGCACACTTAACCAAGATGGTGAATTTTTTCCAACCAATCAGAAATGCTGGAATTAGATTGTCCTAGTGTTTTGAAACTTTTTCAGCAAAGTCTTCCCTAAATCTAATTAACTAACCATTGAACAACAAACTCATTGGATTTTTGTGTTATCATTCTGGCATACCTGTGAGTCTGCTTATTCTAGAATGAATAAAACTGTCCCAATAAAGAAGAGTTACTTCTTTTCAGCGATTCAGACCTTCAGCCTATGTTAAATATCGTTTAGTCGGATCACTGCGTCGGTGGCATAGCGGTTAGAACGCTCGCCGACCACGCACATGGTCCGGGGTTCGATCCCCTGCCGAAGCACACCCGATATCTATGGTCGGCCTGCGAAATTTGGGCTACCGATATCCATGCTGAAAATTCCATACTGTAAATACGGTGTGGTATCAAGCTGTAAATAAAAAAAAAGAATACTAAGTTGGAAATTGTCGGATCGAAATATATTGATTCTGCTTACTCGAATTTCAGATATCATTTATCACTCTCTCGTATACTATCATCTGTTCTCAGTAGTGTTATTGACAAGATTGCGTTTATGACTGTAGCCTGTTGAAGTTATTCAGAATAGAAACGATAGTAAGACCAACTGCTAGACACAGAGTTATTCTCAGTTTCAAAATGAGGGCTTTCATATGAAATTACGAATAGACTAGCGCTTATCTCACGTTTTTTTTGTTGATGACTCAGCGAAATCCACAACATGTAAACAAAGAAAAAGAGAATGTTTAGCATACGCAAGCACACTGAAATTTCATCAAAAAATTTCCCGCTTATCAACAATCTGTTCTTGAAAAGCTGGACACATTTTTTGTCATTTTTAAAACCTTTCTGACATTTCGCTTGTATTCTGCATTTGTAGGACTTTTTACCGGATTTAATAAAAATTGTAACTGAAGAGAAAACCTATCCAAAGAATACACTAAGAAATCTTCATTCTTCTAAGAAGTCTACTTTACAAAACAATGAGTTAAAACTGAACAGCAAAGTGAAGTTGAATGCTAAAGGTGACCTGAATTCTTCTTTACGTTTATTCAAAAATCGTTCAAAGTCGAACAGTAAGAAAACGGAAAATAATAATCGTAATGATGATGATGATGATGTTGATGATGGTGATAACGCAGAGGATGACGACAGTGTAAATTATGGTGATGATTATGATGACGATGATGATGATGGAGATGATTATAAATCCAAGGATGAAGACTTTGTGTTTGAATGTTTAGGCTGTCTAGCCAACCTTGATCTTAATGATATTCATTACAGTAAAGTGATTACTGAATTTAAGCTGCTCAAATGGATTAAAGCTCATCTAGACAGTGCTGAAGCTCGAAAATCACACGATTTCGTGGGTGGAACTTCAGGAAATTCCGACTCCTTCACACCAGTTTTCTTCTCTTCGTCACTGTTCCCCAATCATATAGAAGATGATGTTATCTTGGAGATTGTACGCATGCTTGGTGCTATATGTCAAGATCCTGACGCTGGTCGAATGGTTGTTGAAGCTGGCATTGTACATAGTTTGATTGGTTTGTTAAATGGTAAGTTATTTCTTTTCTTTCTAAAGTTTAATTTTATTTTGACGGTAACTGGTGTAACACTAGCTGTCACTAAGTTTATCCATCTGGTTTGCAATACAGTAAGTAATTCAGGTACGTAAAATTATATTTACTGACCATCGCCCTCCTGCTGCATTACTGCTAAAATCGAATGCAAAATTCTTACAAGCAACTGAATATCTGTTCGAAATCATGTGCTAACAATAGCGTTACATTGTAGTGAGTGGAGAACATGACATATATACACCTGTGGATAATTACAGTGTTGTCAAAGTCCAACTTATTTGCGAGAAACCTACTGGTTTAAGTAAGCAGTCTCTATGAATCTTGTTAAGCTAAAAGCATTTGAACAAAGCAAGAACTACAGTTTTAGCAGAATATAATGGTAACATCTTTTATTTCATTGCCTTCTCGTCAGCTGCTTACAGGGAAAAGACATTATTAAGTGTATCTACAAAAACAATTTTAACATACTTGTGCAGAGTTCATTTTAAGCAAAAATCAATCGATCAGTATACGCATACACTAATAATATATACATATATATATGCAATATTAAACACTATTCCAAACAATAATGATCATATACAACGAAAAGTTTTCAGCATCTTGCATTCGGATGAAAAATATCCAGTTACCAGGGCAAAGAAAGACTGATAACCGCTTCTTTCTGAACGCATAAGTCAGGTTTCAGGTGCTTGATGGAAATAGCTACAGCGAACTTAAGGAGAATTGAGCTCTTTTACTTATTGATAATTTTGAACGACTTTTCGACGTCCACCTCATGACCCGTGTCGAGGAGATGCCTGGCGATGGCACTGTTTAAAGCATTTGTTCCCTTTAGACGTAAGCTTTTGGTACATGTTCAGAAAATCGTAGATATGCCTTTCTTTCTGTTCTTCCAAAGTATGAAATTTCTAAAAGCATTTGTTTTTCTTACTTTAAAAAATATATATATTTCACCACATCTTCCGTTTGGTTTTATTTAGCTAAACAAGAAGATGATGAAATTGTATTTCAAATTGTTTTCACATTTTTCCGATTAATCTATCATGAATCGACCAGAAATCTAATAGTTAAAACAACGCGTGAGTACTACTCATTTGTTTCCTTTCACATGTTTCCATATACTGATAGTATATAAATGTACAGTTCAAGAAATAAGTGACTTGTTTTACACTAATAATAATAATAATAATAACTTTTTAAACAAATTCAGACATTATAACAGTGGTTATTTAAAATGTATTCAATTTTAATTCAGAATTTGGTTTTGTGCACTAAAAGTTGGAAAGGTGTTTATTCAGAGAATAACTTTCATGGAAAACCCTTTTAATTATGATCCCTTTAATATATATATAATTCGGTTCCGTGCGTCGGTGGCACAGTGGTTAGGACTCTCGCCGACCATGCACATGGTGCGGAGTTCTATCCCCTGCCGACGCACACGTGATATCTATGGTCGGCCTGCGAAATTTGGGCTAACGATATCCATGCTGAAAATTCCATACTTGTGCTGAAAATACGGTGTGGCATCAAGCTGTAATCAAAAATAAAAATAAAGAAAATATTAGGTCAATGACCAACTGTACAAATTAGAGTGACTTTATTGCATATCCTCGCTAACTATAGCATCGAAGTCCATTGCAATAGTGGTTTAATGCGAAGTTATATTTTTTGTGTCCTTTTGAAATGAAATTTTGTGTTAAAAACTTTTTTCTGGATTACATATTATTGATGTCACTATATTCTACAACTGCTTTACATTTACCGTATTTTTATCAAAAAATATTTTATGATACTAATATCTGGGTGATGTAATGGAATAAAAGATGTTACACGTATATTAGTGAATTCTCATGAAGTCATGCTGGTATATTTTGGCCTATTTATTTATTCCTTCACGTTCCCAGTGGAACATAGGGCTTCAAGCTAGAGTCTTGAAGTTTCTGTAGCAGTGTTTAGTTTTACAGGATGGGGTTGCTACCCTCATGCCCAACCTTTCCTCTTTACCAGTCTTATTTCTGGTTTAGCGAGGTAAAGGAGTGCGCCGGCCGAGGTTCGGACCCCGGACCATGTGCATGGTCGGCGAGCGTCCTAACCGCTATGCCACCGACGCACTAACCTATTTATTGAAACGCCCTAATGCACTCCCGGATAAAGGTGGTTCCATTTCAAAAAAGGGATATGCCATATGACTGCCCTACAAATTACATTGACACTTTGAATACAAAATTCAGATCTACACTGTCCACCTAACTCATCGATCAGAGCCGTAAAAAAGTAAAAATATAGGTATGGTGGATAACTATTTTTCATTCTTTGAATTTCAGTTTTCTCTTGCTCATGGTTAGTTGGTTTTCTTCATAAACTAGCTGACCCAGATCAGAAACCAAAACTGATGATGTAAAAGAGTTAAGGATTAATGAATTATTATTATTTATTATTGTTTCCATTAATTCCTCCATTGCGTTCGGTTCTCTGCTAGAGTCTTCACCTGGCTCCAAGTCTACCAACATGCTTTCATCTCCTATTCACATAACCTCCTCCAAGTCACCCCTGGACGACCAACTCGCCTCTTCCCTGTCGGGTTCCACTCAAGGGCTAGTCTAGTGATGTTACTTGATGGTTTCCTTAGAGTATGGTCACCGTAATTCTTATCTTCATACTGATGCAGACGCAGAATATTTCTTCTGTTCGTCCCTCTTTTGAGGCGTTAACCGTTTATTTAGTCATTCTTGACTCCTGCACTTGAGCTCTTTAACATAATCTAGCTTGCTAACTTGAAAAACATCTATGAGTTATAAAGATTGACTGTAAGGTGTTTCTCGGAAACTGCTGTTCTTATTCCACTGGATAAATTTCGAAATATTCACTTTTTTCTGTAGAACTATTATATATATATATCATTAATATACACTTGTATCTAAGATATTGCTCTATTTTTTTAGTGTTGACATTTTATCCACGATACTAGTTATAAACATGCCTTGAATAAAAAACACTGTTATTGTTGATAAAATTGATAATTTTATCGAAATACAGACAAAAGATATCTTGTAATAGAGGTTTTTTGTATTTCCCAATGAATGAAAAACAAAACGATAGTGTTTTTACTGACGTCTCGCTATTTAATGCTTCTAATAGCCTTATCAAAGTATTATTAAATCAGAATTTACAAAATCTCAGCTTATATATATAACAAGTTAATCGTCTTTCCTCAGCATGGGGGCATTTTTGCGTTGTCAAGTTGGCCATTTGGTAAAGATAACAAAACTAGGTGTAGATTGTTGGATTTGATAAGTGTGTAAAATTATGAAAGCAGCGTGTGTTTACATAATGAAATTGCTTATCACATTCGTGTTGATTTTGTCACTTCATGGGGGAGGGAAGGGTTGCAACCAGGTCGAATTCTGTTTTATTCCATCATTCCTATTCAGACAATTTGGATTCCATTTGATATGAAGTGCTTCTGATATTAGACATTCTTTGTGATTTAGGAAGTTTTTCTGGATTATTTCAATATTGTCAAAATCAGTTTTGTAGCCTGATTCTATAGCGTGTAGACCTATTGTTGATGATTTTTGAAGCTTTTTTCTGTCTATATAAATTCCCTTTAAATGTAAAATAATTAATTTCTAGACAGAATTTCAAGCGCCTAATTATTTCACTGGTGTCCAGTGGACATCTTTGTCATAGCGTTGTATCTGATTCCAGTTGACTGGAAATGATATCAAGACTTTCGGTAATTGGGATACTAGTATATAATGACTTAATATCATAGCTTACCATAATGTCTTCTTATCAATTTCTTGGTGTTCTATTTTGGATTTGAAATCATATGAATCTTTTACAAAATTTTGAGTGTCCTACACGCTATAGAATCAGGCTACAAAACTGATTTTGACAATATTGAAATAATCCAGAAAAACTTCCTAAATCACAAAGAATGTCTAATATCAGAAGCACTTCATATCAAATGGAATCCAAATTGTCTGAATAGGAATGATGGAATAAAACAGAATTCGACCTGGTTACAACCCTTCCCTCCCCCATGAAGTGACAAAATCAACACGAATGTGATAAGCAATTTCATTATGTAAACACACGCTGCTTTCATAATTTTACACACTTATCAAATCCAACAATCTACACCTAGTTTTGTTATCTTTACCAATTGGCCAACTTGACAACGCGAAAATGCTCCCATGCTGAGGAACGATGATTAATTTGTTATATATAAGCTGAGATTTTGTAAATTCTGGTTTAATAATACTTTGATAAAGCAATCAGCAGCATTAAATAGCGAGACGTCAGTAAAAACACTATCGTTTTAATTTTCATTCATTGGGAAATACAAAAAACCTTTATTATACTGAATATCATATGATGTGTAGAAATTGAATCGGGTGGGGGTAGAGAACAAGAAAGTTGAAAATGTAAAATATTACAATTGAGAAGACGAAATAATACTAATGAAGGGACAGAAGAAAAGATTAGGTAGAATTTACTTGTCTGCTAATAAGATAGATTACGTCCATTGCAAGTGTAGTGATTGAACGAACTTCTTCTGTATGCAGAGTTCAGAACTTAGCAAGTGAATCGCCCTTGCTTCTGCGGTTTGAAGAAGTCTGATTCGTACACTTTTAGGGAGACTACTTCTTACTCTGTAGGCGACTTTGAAGTTTGTTTGCGGTGTAGCTTGGTGTTCGGATTCTATCAGATGTTCCAAGATGGAACTGCGGGGGCATCGATTTTCTCCTTTGTAAAACCATTTTGGTAAGTGCTCGGTGATACGTTTGGAAAGCGAGCGCTGGGTACGGCCGACATACCTGGCTCCACACGAGCAGGTGAATTGATAAATGCACATTGATGAGGCCAGCAGCGATAGCTTATCCTTCACGTTCACATGAATCATAGGTTTTGTGGAGAAGGTTAGTCGTAGTTCGGCTGCGAAGAAGGTCTTCTTAAGTGAGCGCGACAGTCGATTTTTTAGTGTTTCCGCAGATAAATCTCCATTGAATTGAAGGTTCATGTAGAGTAGTTTTTTCGGGACGCTAAGCATGGGCGGCTTTTCTGGTCTAGGATTCATAGATTTTGCAATAAATCTTTCTGGATAGCAATTCTCCACGAGGATTCTCTTGAGATTGTCCAGTTCATCTTCTATGGTGTCCGGGGTGCAAATCCTGCGAACTCTGTAGCTGAGTGAACGGATCAGGTTTCGTTGGGTGTATAGTGGTACCCAACTGTGAAGGTTAGTAAGCTGTCCGTTCCACGTCGATTTTCTGTGGATAGATCTTTTCAGTGTTCCATCCTGTTCTCTTCTTGTTAGTTGGATGTCAAGAAAGGATATTGTGGAGTTGGACTCTTTCTCCATCGTGAACTAAATTGCAGGGTGGCAGTTGTTAAATGCCTTCAAGATGTCGTCTAGATTTTCTTCGTTGTTGACGGTTGTTGTGCGGTGATAGGGTGAATTGGTCATGTCGAGGATCGGTCGGAGAGGGATACCCTTCTTGTGAAAGATTCAGTCTTTAACTTACGGAGGGTATCCTGAACTCTGCATACAGAAGAAGTTCGTTCAATCACTACACTTGCAATGGACGTAATCTATCTTATTAGCAGACAAGTAAATTCTACCTAATCTTTTCTTCTGTCCCTTCATTAGTATTATTTCGTCTTCTCAATTGTAATATTTTACATTTTCAACTTTCTTGTTATTTACCCCCACCCGATTCAATTTCTACACCTCACTACCACTGTTACTGACTTGAATATCATATACCTAGATGCTCAAATTTTTTCAGACTGTTAAAAGTGAACTTGGTTTGAACATATGTAAACAGATATCTTCTTCAATGTGAGGATTTATGATACAACAGGCATGACCTTCTTGTTCCTGTTGTGACTTCATCTACGTATCTTAAATCGTAAGCTTAAACACTACACGCATCATTCCAATTTTAAGCACGGAAATATATTTAGCCTTGAAGTCCTGTAAATCACTGGAAAAGCTATTTGTTCACTGAAGGTGTTATGAAATCAAAAAGGTCAAATAAAAGTAAAATAAGATTGTTTTGTGAATATGACGATTCTCTCTGAAGTCACTCTCGTTTTAGAGGCAAAAACAATGAAAAATGTTCTTTGTGTTTGTGTGTATTGCGTGTGTACACATACAAGTTGTTCTTCTAAAGTGTATCATCGTTTGAAATTACTCAACTGTATTTACACTTATAGTGAAACGGATTAGAATTTGCTTTAATTTGTTTGTTTAATTTTACTATGACTGGTAAGATGGTTGGTTGTTTATTTGATGGATTACAATAACAAAGCGTATAGTCGAACGAATGATTGTGAAATAATTAAAACTAATGAGAAAGTAGAAACAGCCACTGTTACACACACATACACACATTTTAACTGCAGGAAAGTGAGTAGTTGACTGTAACTCAATTGGAGTTTCGTATTATCAAGCTGTGTGTAACTATTAATGTACGCGCACGCTTGAAAAGTACAGAAGTGTACACCAGTGCACAGTTTGTCTCATTACAACGTAAACAAAACCTTAGTAGTTTTCTAGATACTATTGGACTATTAGTTTCTCATAGCGACTTGCTTCTCATTACCTAAGTAGAAATCTACAATCACATATATTCCCATAGTCAGTGTCAAATGTGGAGTTATTACATCAGTAGTATTGTAAAATGAAGTACCACTCAGATTATGATAAATGAATATATATCACTTTTGAATTACATTTCAGAAGCTGTTGCCTATCTTGTCGATCTAATGCATGATAAAAATGCTGATATTCGAAAACTATGCGACATTACCCTGGACATTATCTGCGTAAGTTGTGCTGTACTTAGCTTAGAGGATTTCGTAACACATAAATATATATTGACATTAAAAACATTCTATTATTATTATTATTTAAACGTAGAAAAAAACTTGGTACAATATGGCACCAAGAAAGATGCGCCATACAATAATAATAAAACAACATAGATTAAAAGTAAAAATGTAAGTAGAAAACGGATAAAGAACTTCATCTGGAAGGAAAACAGTCATGTTTAACAAGTTCAAACAGTATTCGTTAACTATCATCTGGAAGGGAAGAAAGAAGGAAATTGCAACACGTTCGTCACTGATTACGATTCTTGGCCATATCCGATAACGTTTCGAGCCATCGATTCGAGCTATCTCGCGGACCCCAACCAGGGAGTCGTGACACACCAACCGATGCTAATCTAGCACAAATATCCTTCATCCCACGACGCCACGTCATGGACTGACCACCCCTCCGCCTTTTCCATCCCGCCCTAGGGCTAGTGAAAAGAGACCTGTACGGAAGCCTCTGGGATGACATTCGCAACACATGTCCAAGCCACCGGAGCCGGTGTTTCCAGATGACGACACTCAATGAATGGTGATCTCCACTGTGTTCAAACACACGCCGCCGAACCTCAGAATTACTCACGCGATGATGCCATTGAACGCAAGCAATCCTGTGGAGACAGCGGTGATCGAACATGCAGAGCCACCGCACATCCTCAGCTCGGAGAGGCCAGGTTTCACAGGCATAGAGCAAGACAGCCCGCACCGAAGCATTGTATACCCGACCTTTGACAGCCAGGCTAACGTCGCCAGAGGTGGCTCAAGTTGATGTATGCCACCCTAGCCTTCATTATACGGTTGGAAATCTCATCCGTCACTCCTCCGCCAGCACTCACACAACTACCCAGATACACAAACTTATTAACAACTTCAAGCGGTTCACCCGCAAGAGTGAGCGCAGGTACAGGCTCCTGCCAATCTTGTAACAGTACTTTGCACTTAGACGGTGCAAAGCACATACCATACTTACAAACACTGATCGCCAACTGATTAAGTGCGATTTAGGCAGCCTGCATGCTATTACATAGTAAGACGATATCGTCTGCATACTCGAGGTCGAAAAGTCTATCTCCAGGTAGCAGATCTACACCACCCTTACGCACATCTTTCAGAGCAGACTCCAGAATGTCATCGATGGCAATGTTAAAGAGAAATTGAGAGATTGGGCAACCCTGTCTTAACCCCACTGTTGGTTGGGAACAGTGATGATAGTTGGTTGTATGCCCTCACTCTACCTGAGGTGTTTCTATATAGGGCTTTCAAGATGTTAACAAATTTTTCAGGTACACCTCTCTCTAACAGACAGTTCCAGAGCACAGTTCTGTCCAACGAATCGAAGGCAGCCCTAATATCAAGAAACACAACGATCGTTGGCCTGCAATACGTGTGGCGGTGTTCCAACAACTGACGAAGGGTGAACACATGATCAATGCATCCAAGGCCTGAACGAAACCCAGCCTGCTCTGCGCGAATCAATCCCTCACGTATTTTGCACAGCCTGCGAAGCAAGACGGCAGCCAATATTTTAGATGCGACTGGTAGCAGACTGATACCCCCATGATTGTCACACGAAAACATTCTGCTAAAGCTCCATCTACTATTTCTACTGTGCGGTTATTTCTTGTGATATCATGACCTCATTCATCAATGAGCATCGGTTGAAGTCAGTCTTGACCAACTAAACTATTTAAGTAATCAAATTAGCTGTTAAAATATCTCAGCAAAGATTTCAGTGCAACTCTACTGATTAACCATCACCTTTGGTTGAACAAGAGAATTTTCATTAACTGAGAACATTTAATGTTTTTGTCACCCAAGTCCAGTTTGTTTGACAAACTAAAGTGTTTCGTCTAAATGGTAACACTAAAACAACTCTGATATCAGTCTGTGATACCAAAACTGCTTCTCATTATTAATAATGTCTTTTACATACGTGTATATATGAATTCGTATTCACTTCAATTGTGACTGTATAAGGAAGACATATTAGGAATGTTAGGCTAAGAAAAAAATCCATCAAATCTCATAGGTTTAGTAACTTTTATCTTGGTAAATTTCTCCGATTATCTATGTCTTCTAAGTCTGAACTCCGGGTCCTCAGTTGGATATTTTCTAGTTGTTATACGTCAAGATTTATAAGCAAATACTACTCATAATATATAAATGTTTTATCCACATGAGTGACTTTTGCTTCTTGATTTTCATTAGAATACAAATAATGACACATTTTCAGTGATCTATTTCAGTCACGGACTGTTTTGAATATTCCAGGAATATGAATCCGACTGGAGGATAAGAATCCAAACAGAACGCTTTCGTTGGCATAATAGTCAATGGTTAGAAATGATCGATACTTCGGCTACTTCTGGTCTTCTTGACAATTCAGACACGACAACAGAAGCCGCACTAGCAGCTGTTCTTGGTATTGGTCATGCACGATCACAATATCATCCAAATTTGTTAACGGGTGATGAATTAAACAATATTGTCCATGAAGACGAGAATGACAACCGAGGATACTTTGGAATGGGACTAGGCATTGATGATGCAGCCGCATTCTTGTTGTCACTGTCAAATGCTGAGGGGCGTAAAAGATCAGCAGGCAGTGAGAATTTACTGGGTATTCCTTATGAAGAAAGTGATTATATGAATCAATTAAATTTGTTGTATCCCGGTAAGTGTTAAAATGAAATTGTGTGTCCCACTGATTCCCTGAATCTTCTGGATGCTGAATTTTAAACTTTATGTAATTGCTTTTTGGAACAATTAGATAGGTATTCTCAGTATCCAGGGGCACATGTTTCTATTTGCGTCAGTCAAACCAATATTCATCTATTGATCATTCATACTAGTGCTCCAGTGTCAAGATAGTTGACTTGATGTTTCATGGTGTACACCATACAAAACACTTCAAACAATGAACTGTATATATCGTCACAAAAATAAAATGTGTATTTGTGTTTTCCAAACGAATAGTCTGAAGACTGTTCTGAAAGTCATTACATTTAAAATAGCCCACTTGATGTGAAATATCATCACTCTTTAAATACACAGATAGTCAGGTACAAAGAGAACATGTCACATGAAGACATCCGGTTTTATTTTTTAGTAGTCAGTCTTTGCAAGTTAAATTAACTGTCGCACCACATATCTCTGTTTTTTATTTCTTGTTCACTGAAGATATGTACGGTGATGCAGATTTCTTGTCAAGTGAAAGAGTAAGTCCAGCTATGACGGCGGCAAGTCATTATGATTCAGATTCTGATGCTACTCAAAAAGAAATAGATTCTCAGTAAGTGTGTTGATAAATTTTGACTTTATTCCTATCACATACATGTTCGGTATTATTCTGAACAATAATATAAATTCTTTCGTGAAATTAAGCTGAAAATAGTCATTATCATCGTTTATGTAATGCAGTATTTTTTTACGGGATGGGGTTTCTCGCCACATGCCCAACTTTCCCTCTTTACCAGCCTTATTACTGGCTTAGCAAGGTAAAGGAGTGCGTGGCTTAGCCAGTAAAAAGACTGGTAAAGAGGGAAAGTTGGGCATGAGGCGAGAAACCCCATCCCGTGAAAATAAACACCACTGCTACCGAAACTTCAAAGCTCTGCCTAGCTAGCTAGCTAGCTAGCTCCACTGGGAACGTAAAGGAATAATTTTAAAAAATGTATTTAATTCATTAGCAGGTGTTTGTGGGAAAATATATATATATATATTAGCTTGCTTTATACTGGTAAATGCTGGTATTACTCACTAATAATACTGAGATATTTGTCCATTTTTGGTTTTAAGCTTTCGTAGTATCTTGTTAGCGGCCTATATACTTATCAGGTTATTTTGTCTCGATAAGACCAAGTACTACTGGGCATGTAAGTAGTAAATAGACAAAATGCTTTAAACGAATTATTGTCAAGTACTTTATTGTATCTACTTGAGCTCTTTGTTGATGCGAAATGCTGTCATCCGGTGTTAGTGACAAATTTTAATTCACTTTACATAGTTTCTTCATACACTTATTCCCCTTTATGAATTTGAATAAAACAAGAATAATAGTTTGTGCAGAATAAGATGGCACAGACTTGCGTTTACGCAGTCTGATAAAAACAGTCTGTGTTTTAATCTTATATTTATGATAAAATCACCACTTCGCAACTTTGTCGATTGAGGTAGCCATGATGTATGCTAATGATGCCGAACCACCTTCATCTTGAGAAATTGGTATTAGAGAAAGCAAGAGTAGACTGACGAGTAGTTACCAGTGACCAAACTAAAATATAGCTTCAATTAATGAGGTCATTGGCCAGTAGTCTTAGCCTTATGGTGAAGTGTAGATTAGCTGCATGGGGACATTTAAGGCTACAACTCAGTGGTAGGTAAATCTTGGTGGTATAGCTCAAAATCACTCGATGCATTCATTCATTCTGAAGATTTTAATTAATCGTTGCTCACTGTTTCCCTCCAATACACCCATGTTTATCGACTGTTTTATTATTGAGTAACTGTTACCTTATTTTATGTAGTTTATCGAAGTGTGACTATTTTTAGCTGGTACAATTTTGTACAGTGTTCAGTGTGAATTTACCACTCACTCATTTAAGTACGATAAAAAAAGAGGACAGATCATTTTTAGTAGGGGGTTGGTGATTGACGATAGAATCCATGAAGCATGTTTCTTGTTTCTTGTAATACGACATTTAAATGACACTTACTTTTCAGTGTGTATTTCTTTTAGTCTTCTGATAACGCCATAGCACTAAAACCTCGGGTCATTTAGGGTTTTTTTATGTGGGTTACTTTGACCACAATTGCTGAGTTGAAGTACAGATTTTAACTTCTTTTGTTTGTCTTTTATTCTTTTACCTTCCCAGTGGAACATACGGCTTCAAGCTAGAGGCTTGAAGTTTCTGTAGCAGTGTTTATTTTTACAGAGTGGGGTTGCTAGCCTCATGCCCAACCTTTCCTTTTTACCATCATTATTTCTGGCTTAGCGAGGTAAAGCGATACGTCGGCCGAGGATCGAACCCCGGACCATGTGCATGGTTGGCGAGCGTCCTAACCGCTGTGCCACCGACGCGCACGTACTTTGGTACTGTATTAAGAGAGGTGAAGCAGGTGAAACAAGGTGTTAAAGATATCATTAACTGAACGCGTGAATCATCGGTTAATGAACTGCGGCGGATCGCCTTTAAGTAATAAATGTACTCCTAAATTCGAGAACAAGCTTTACCTCATTTACTAAATGTCGCATGGTGAACGCCAGTGGAGAGTGTTCAATTTGAATTTTCGTTTTACTCTATTTCGGTAATAACTAAATGCGTATCTATAGATAAAATTACAGATAATGTACCAATCAACAGCCGAAATAAACTTTGAAGAGTGTCTCAAGACTGATTTTATAAAAAAAAACCTAAATCATTTGCAAGAATCTTTAAAAATCAAAGAATGGTGAACAGAAGTACTGTGTACTATTTTGTTAATCTTCAAAACTGCGTACACTTGTGAAGTCATAAGATGGATGTGTTTCCGTTAAGACATCTAGTTGGTGTCCAACAGTTTATGATTTTCAACTTCAGTATCATCGCCAAAACATATCATTTCTGAATTTGTCTCCTCACATCTGACTTGGTGAATCCCAGGTCTAATTAGAAATTAATTATACCAAATTAAGTTTTTTGAACTTCACCACCTGACTGTGTTTTCCTATTTTTTTTAATATGTACTGCATGTTTGTTGTTTTTCCGTTTCCACTCACCTCAAGTGAGACTGTGCAATCAACTGACATTTTTAAGATGTTTCAACTATTTTCTTCACTATATTACGCGTACTTATGTGTGTATACGAAAGAGCTATTTTTTGAATCAATAGTCGTCTGAATGAGATAATATCCCCTGAAGTGTTTATTTTAAAATATCCACTTGATATTACTGGGGAGAAGCGTATTATTTCCTAACGACTACACTGATGAATCTAATAACGCATATAATATGCGGAAGGCTCAGTAATGACAACAGTGTAATTTTCAAAGTTGTAGAACAGTGAAGTTGATGTTATTACCAAAACATTTATTAAGGATGATGAGAAAAAGCTAATAGATAATCAGAGACTAGAGGAGAAAATATTTGAAAAATATAATAAAATAGCCAAGGTTGTTTGGAGGAAGAACGAATGCAAAGGATAACAGCGAATAGTGTATACTATGAATGGTGGAGGTTATTCAGTAAATAACGGAAGTTACCGGATAGACGGGTAACTGTTCATTACCGCTTAACAAACAACTTGAAAGGTAGCTTTTTCCTCGAATCATCCTTTATAAAATGCAGTTATGTTATAACCTGACGAACTTTGACGTGATTCCATATGCATTTACAGCAGATACTAGTAGACAGCTGAGAAGTTCTTTGTCTTACTTGCTAACATATAAGCGTTATACTGTGCTGGCATTCATGGTAGACACTGAGTGATTTAGGCCTCTGTTTGTGTTCTGCCATAAAAGCAGTCATCTAAGGTCACTCGCTATATAAGAGAGGCATACTTCAAAAACAAGGCAGAGGAGTTAATGTGACATTTATCTGAGATAAAAACTTATCTAAAATTACAGTGAATAATATTCACAACTGCTCGACTGTCTGTGAATTCGCTTTAGTCTTGAATAATAATAATTTGCTTTATTCCAGAAACAGTGTTAGTGGTACAGTGTGGAATTTTCAGCACATATCTACAATATTTGCATCTAATTTTATCAAACATTTAAAAGGAGTATTTCAAAAAATAAATATAAAGGCAACAACAGCAAAAAAAAAAAAATAATTTTAAAAAATGCGAAAAAAATACCAAGAAGTAGAAAGGAAAATAAACAACATAAAATAATATCTCAGTATTGGGTAGTGGAAGCAATGATATGATTATGCATGGTGACAGTTAAGCTGTAGTCATACAAGAAGTTATGAAATGATATTTAAGAATGTTTATCGCCAAGATGATCAGTTAATTTGGTTGAAACAAACACTAAACAATCATAAAATAACATTTCAGGGTTGTTGATTTTGTCTTTTATTGTCAGGTCTGACGCAGTGATTGTAGTGGTAGTGTGAGTAATCCTGCATAATACAAAATTTTTAAGGTGGTGATAATGGCTTTCACAATCAATGATTGTCAGTTAATATTGCCGAACAAAAAATAACCACAAAGCTAATATTACATGATGGTTAGTAACAAGACAATTTTGTAATACTCATAGTGCTAATATAGTCGGAACCAGTAGATACACAAAAAAAGAATAAAGTAGAAAAAATATGAATATGTCAATCTCACTGCAGTTTATAATTCACCTGTGGAATTGTACAAGTCATGTAGAAATTTGGTTGGTTGGAGGATTTCATCATGAGCTGACATCAGTTAGAGAACCACTGAAAAACCTGGGAGTACTGGACAGCTGTTTCGTCCTAGTTTGAGACTCCTCAGGAGTACGCACTCACCAGGGTTCGAACCCAGGACCTTCTGGTTACAAGGTGAGCTCGTAGAAATTACGAAATGGTCGCGCTATGTCGTCAATTGGCAGAAGTTAGAATTCAAGAACCATTGGATCGGGTCCCAGTGGCTCAATGGCCTACGAGCTCGCCTTGTAACCAGAAGGTCCTGGCGGTGGGTGCGCATTGCTGAAGAGTCCCAAACTAGGATGAAACAGCTGTCCAGTACTCCCAGGTTTTCCAATGGTTTTGTAACTGATGTCAGCTCATGATGAAATCCCCCAACCAATCAAACAAAAATCCCTACAAAACCAATACTTGAAAATGTAGAAATGTAACACTTTGGAAAGTCAAAAAGATGATGTGATTAAATAATGTGGATGAATAAATATTAAAGCTTTCATGAATTGGTACTCTTTCTCTGTATTAGACTTTCCAACTATTTTATAATAATAATAATAAGTCGCAACCTAATTATAATTCATTTTTAAAACTACATCAGGCCTCATTATTCTTGGTGTTATTTCCATAAAAGCTGTTTCTGATTGCATTTAGAACACTTTACATTGTGTTCTGCAACAATAGAAGCAGGCGAATAACTCTACAGCTAATTCTATTCCCCATTAAGGAGTTAAATGTGCTCGTTTGCCTTCCCTACGTGTTTTTTTTAGATGATACATTTCTGATTAACAATTCAGGTGTATTGACTTATGCTTTGATAGATAAATTAAAAGTACCTTTACACAGAATGGGTATAAGTGTGAAATTGTCTACGTAACTCAATACCAGATGATGCATTATTATATATTCTTTCTCGTTTGATATTTGTCTGATAATGTCTTAAGAGAATATGGTTCATAATTAGCTAAATATAATCATTCCCCTTGTTTTGAGAAGTGTGTTGAATTCTCAGTAGTGACAGGTTTCATATTCTGTTATTTGTGTAATATGCTAATTCGGCAGAGTCACTATCTAACCAACAACAAACAAGCATTGGTATCTAAAATGAACTATATAAAACCTTATTTAGTTAGATGAGAATCTATGTTTCACTATTCTCAAGATGTTTAATGTTATATTATTATTATTGTTCCCTTGGGTTTCTAGTGGAACATAGGGCTTCAACTTCACGTCTCCACTTGCTTCTGTTTTCTGTTGTACTTTTCACCTGCATCCATGTTAGTCCATACTGTTTCAACTCTACTTCACACGATCTCTTCCATGTCACCCTTGGACGTCCCACTCGCCTCTTCCCTTTCGGGTTCCACTCGAGCTATTGCCTGACGCGCGATGTCACCCAGCGGCCTCCTCAGCGAGTGTCCAATCCATCTCCACTTTCTCCTGCATATTTGTTGAGCGATTGGTTCTTGTTTCGTTCGTTCCCATAGTTTCTTGTTGGTGATTCTTTCCGGCCATCTGATCTTCAGGATGTTTAATGTTAGCATACTTTTATGGCTGAAGCAACAGAACTAAAGTGAGAAGAAATTTTTAAATTTAGCTTTCCAACTGAACTTTAAGTTAACTAAGATATTAATGCTTTTGATGAATTAGAATGTGATTTTGTAAGTTTATCCACGTAATATTGTACATATTTATTCTTTCTAACGCTTAGAAGTCATTCAAATTATGAAAATGTCAAACAAGACGATAAGATACTCAAATTAATGCCGAAATCTTTTGATATGCAAAACTCAAGCAATAATAAATTAAAGAAATAAAGAAAGACAACTGTGTGAACTGAATCGATCCTGTATTTGTATATGTATTTATCCGACAGCAAAAACATGCAACAATGAATGCTAAGGACAGAAAAATGTATCAAAGTCCAACGACTCACCTCTCCATCTTTTCTTAGTACCATTTGAAATGATATTTTTTTTCTGTACATAACTACTTTGGATTACTTTTCATCAATTTATAACAGAGTAGTAGCATGTTATGATATATATAAATAAAATGTGATAATAAATCAAATTTCATGGTTTTTGCATGACTTATTCTTCTTTGTGCTTAAACGGTCAGCTACACTACATCCAGATCGGGTCTGCTAATTGCTCCAGAGTTCGAGTAGTTGCTGATAATTAAGTTGCTTTGACAGGATTATTATTTGGCCTCAGTTTGATACTAAATAGTGTCCAATGTGACTCATGTGTATTAACAAGTTAGAGTGTATTGCAATTCAGTGGAAGTAAGCGGTTGTAATTTCAATTACGGTTTAATGTGTTACAGAAATCTGCGATTTTTGATAGGAGAAGCCAAATGCATCAAAACCTTTGATTTTATATCTACTGTATAATTTTGCTGTATAGCTTTACTTGGTTTTATAGTTTCTAAATATTACGTACAATTCTCAATTATTTGACTATGAGTTATTTTCAAAATAGAATTAAATTTAATGTCAGTATCCAAATGGAATTACGATACATATTTGAATCCAGAGAAATACACAGATTCACAGTAATATAACTACTATATCAGTTTCAAGGAGGATATTATGCATTCGTGATCTACAGGGTGTTTATCATACACGTCTTGGTGGAATGTAAAAGTTTCACAATATAATCAAAATTCTTAACAGTTTGGTTTTAAATAGACACTCTACATAATATTTTTATTGTTTCCTTTAATTCCTAGAGGAACATAGGGCTTCAGCCATGCGTCTCCATTGCCTTCGGTGCTCTGCTAGAGTCTTCACCTGGCTCCAAGTCTGCCCACACGTTTTCATCTCCTCTTCATATGACCTCCTCCAAGTTACCCTCGCACTGACCACAAACTCGCCGCTTCCCTTTCGGGTTCCACTCGAGCTATGGCCTGTCTAGTGATGTCACTTGATGGCTTGTTTCCTCAGAGTATGGCCAATCCATCTCCATTTCTTCCTGCCTATTTGTTTCACAATCGGTTCCTGCTGGGTTCGTTCGCTCCCAGAGATCTTACCCTGTTGCAGATCTTTTCTGGCCGGCCATCTGATCTTGAGTATTGAGCGAAGGCAACTGTTAATGAAGCTCTGTAGTTTGTTTGAGATGCACCATGTACAAGACACTCTACAGGTATGCGTATAATTGAGGAGTCAAAGTCCTGCCTCAAAAATTTAACCGCAGGAGCTCGGTTAGGTTTCCTTTTCCGAATAGATCTCACCCAATGTATTTTCGTGTCAAATACGTTATAACAGTTTAAACTGTTGAAAGTTTTGTGCTTTAAATTTTAAACATAGCAATATACTTGGTCTTCTTTAAACCGTTAATGTATTTAGCATCTAATGATGAGGTGTAAAGTGACGAATACAGGCGCATAATATATATCTCTAGTCATAATAAAGCATACTTCATCCAATTACGCCATTACCTTCTAATGGTTTACTTGACTCTACTTATGCTTTTATTCAGGTATTTGTATTCTACCGATTACAATGATGTAAAGAATATGTTGCTTCGATAACCTGTCATAATCTATCTTAGTATGAAAATAAAAGAATTCAAATCAAGTGACAGTTAGTGAGACTTACTAAGTTGTATTAATTATTTGTAACTGTATTTTGCAATAACCGAATCACAGGAAACCAAACAAAAATAGAGACTGGGCAGAATAAGGGAATTTGGTTGGAGGATTTCATCATGAGCTGACATCAGTTACAGAACTATTGGAAAACCTTTGAGTACTGGACAGCCGTTTTGTCCTAGTTTGGGACTCTTCGGTAGTACCCACCCAGCGGCGTTCTAACCCAGGAGCTCAAGATTCCCAAACTAGGTTGGCGAAACAGCTGTCCAGTACTCCTAGGTTTTCCAATGGTTCTCTAACTGATGTCAGCTCATGATGAAATCCTGTAACCAATCAAACGAAATGCCTACAAAACCAATACTTGAAAATTTAAGAATTTGCATTTGGCAGAATTGATTGTAATTTATGTAATAAATACTTACAAACAACAGTACTCATTTTAACAATACAGTAATAGAAATTGTTAATCACTACATAAGTCACTTAAAGTTATAATAAATTACGTAAAGTATCCTTTGAAGGTTGCACTGCTTCCACTCAGGACTAATAATGGTTGATAATTTGTTTTTAAATCAATTTCTTGACTAACTTAATCTATGAGGAAGACAGAATGAAGTGAATAGAATGTAATTTCAAAGAGAAGACTCGAAATAATAATAGGAATGAGAATATTAAATTTAAGAGATAAGATTGCTTGTATTTCATTTTTACTTGGCAATTTTTGATGGACCTATGATCACAATTATTAATAGCAAGTGTGTAGCCAGTGCTACGTATCTAAATTCCCAGGACCTCCAAAATGCATTTTGGGCATGACCTATGCAGAAGACATTGGAGCGGTAGGTAATTCTCCAGGATTATTAACAACAGCAGTCATCACTGTTTAAGTCAACTTGCTTAGCTGAAGGCTTCCGGTCAAGCATCCACGCCATTTGACACGCCGTCGTGTTACGTTCATTCATTCGTGAATAGTCCCTAGTTAGTTAAGCAATCATCTCACACTCCGATTTGGTCCCGAAATATAATTCGTAATTCGGACGATAAATTCTGGTGTTTTGCTTTGCCTTTGGTCCACGCGGAACGTATACTATATAAGTTGTATGTACTGGACTTTGCGTTAGTATACTTCGTACTATCCGTTAACGTCAACATCCCCAGCCTCTATAACGTCATCATAAATGTAAAGTGAGAACTATTTACCGCTACAACGTGTCGATTTGAAATACGATATATCGTGAGTCTCAGGTCAAAGCCTTCTGACAAACTGGTTTTAAAGTTTGTGCCAAGGTGCCTCTTGTGGCAGCACCAGCTTAATATAGTGGGATCACTGGCAAACTTTGATGTTCCCTAGATAATTAATTAAGTGCTGATCCCCAAATTTCGATCATTATAGTTATACGGAGTTCCTATTGATCATATCAGTCCCAAACTTTTCAGCTTTTTCTTAATGTGACTGAAACAACCTGTCCCTAACAAACTGGCTAGAAAGTGGGGTCATGCTTGAGTTTTGTAGATATTAAAAATAGTAATCAGTGGATAAAGCGTTGAATCTAGAAGGAACTTCATGGATCTTTGTGTCTTCTCAGTGTCCTCATGACGCCGTTATGGGGTATGAACTAATGACTAGTATCCTTCACACAGGCTCACTTCTTGGTGGTGAGATAGTATTTCCTCCTATTCTCTGGTGAGTTACTACTTGATCCATTCCTCATGTAGCCTATTGTAACTCAACAAGACCTTAAGGGTGGTGTCTGCATATGAGGATGATTATATATTTAAGCTTTGCTTTGAAACTGCTATGATCAGATTTATTCCCTTCTTCTGTTAGTAGACCGGTATGGTTGGAAGTGGAATAGTAATACTTTAATAATAGCGAATACATAAACGAATAATAAGTCAGAGTGGTAATTTAAAATAAACAAATCGTTCAGTAGGTAGAGTACGTAGTAGAGCAAAAGCAGGAAAACTGTGGAAGTGTTAAGGAATTTGAAAGATCGAATTTAGCTGCTAACACAATCATGTGTTACTGTATATGAGGGTTACATTTCTGTTTGAACCGGATGATAGCCGAATGGACGCAACAACGCAGCAACCATGGACGCTGGTGAGCGTTCCACCACAGTGGCTTCTAAGAGGAAAGATACAGGAGCGCATTTGAGTTTGTCAGCTGATCTGCAAATTCCAATTTTCAGGGACTTTGTTTTAATTTGTACCTATATGAACTGGCTCCAACACCATTTTGCGCTTTTCCGTTGTACCGTCTATACACACATCCCCTGAGTTTGTAATAAAGTCATACCTATTAGACAAGTTTTAGGCCTTTTGCTTGGATAATCTTTACATTTTCTTTTACTGAAATATACAGAGAACTTGAGTACTTTTCCCATATAACCAAGTCTTTTTAATTGGCGTTTTGTCGTCAGTACTTACAGATTAGATAGAGTACTGAATTATTGAGAACTTAGGTAAACTGCGTTAAGTAAAGGGTGATAAAAAGCAGCTTCTCAACAGCGCCACCAGTACCACACTTAGTGAACCCGTAACTGATTATTAACCGCATCTTAAGCCCAATTTGTCCATAGTTTAATTTTTATCTGTGGTTGCTTTGTTTTTCACTCTTGCATTAGAGGTTACTTTTTATTTGAATTTCCGTGCTTTTTCATACTGATGGCATATTTTTACTATTCCAAATCAAATATCTTATCTAACCATGGCTGAAAACGGCTGTCCTGCTCAGACAGCAGTTACGCTGCAACTCCCTTTCTTTTAGGCGAATTGACCATTTTCATGGTTCTCACATATTGAACTCCAGTTTGCTTTGCTGCGTATACAATCCCAAGAAGCTAAGGCAAACTTAGAAATTGTGAGTTTTCCCGAAAACATCGTGGAAGACGTTTCAAATATCCTTCACTAGGCCCGCCCAGTCTTTTGCGGTCGTCTGAAAGCAGCTGTAATTGAATGAGTACACTTACCAACCAACAAAGAGTACAGTAATTCTTCAGGCCCACTGAAATTGGAGCTCGTAAGCCCTAGAAAATGCGCCGTCAGATGAAACAGCTAGTTGCTGGTTTCAAAATTGACAAAACTTTCCTAAAACATTTATGGTTGCAAAGCCAATTCAAAAAAATTCTTGCACCCTTCAACAAGTCTTCTTTGGCGAAATTAACAGAGTCAGTTGGTAGAGCTGTCAAGGCAACCAGACCATTCACCACTGTTTCTGCGA